GGCTATATATATAGATGTGTATAAGAGACAGACTTTGGCGGGCTGAGAATGCGGATATTGGTGTGTTGGATAAACGGGCCCTAGGTGTATGCCTTAGGTAATTTTCAAGATACAAGATACAAGATAACTTTATTGTCCGAAAGGAAATTACATTTGGATATTACATCACATGAAAAATTTTAAAAAGTCAAACATATAATATAAAGTATGTGTTAGATATAATATCCGACATGAAGTCAATAGTACAATACATACAACAAAATATTACATAAAGATAAATGCCTTTAGGCCAACGAGCCATTAAATATTCAAATTAAATATGAAACAAAGCAGTTAAGGAACTGACTTGTGTTTTATAATTGCAGTTGGTATTATTTACTATATTTGCATATATGCTCCACTTCGAATCAACGTCACACTGCCCCCAGAGCCTCTGTACGGAATAAATGCCACCCTCAAATAAAAGCCCTCAATGCCACCTTAAAGTGACTATAAACAACAATAAAGCCTGCTTTCCATAAAATCGCTACACGCTTCACTACAGTGTTTTCAGTGCAATCGTTGTACAGTACTATCCCCGATGCAATAAGAAATTCTCCCGATTCGACTGACCAATCAGCATCACTGAAAGCTGTCGGCAATAACGTCTAGCAACCGTATGGACCAAGCTTAATGGAAGCCAAATTATTCTCTAACACATTCTATTGATGTTCTACACAAGTTTGTACAATTTTTTTTTCTAACCTTGTTGTGAACAGTAAGTCTTTACAATCAGGTAAACACATTTTGACGGTAATTATGTGCTGTAGTTCCACATTTGCAGTGAAATTAAGGGGCATTTATTTGAGTCCCATATCCATTTTACACCCAAAAAAATAAATGCCTTCCGTTTATTCAAATATAGAGAGTACGTGATTGTTTTTAATTGTATTTTTAATATTTTATGAAAAGTTTGGTCTGTGTATATCTGCACATTTTGTCAGCGCTTGTGTGGGTGTGTATTGTGTATATTATGTAACATTTTTTTTTTTTGTATTGTGTTTTTTGTATTGTTTACGATGCATGTGCTTATGTGTATGCGTGTATCGTTATGTGTTTGTGGGTGTGCGCAAGGTGTGTACACATTTTATTTCTACCTATTATTATATGTATGCATGTGTTCATTGTAGGCAATCCATTAAAAAAATACTAGTTTTTTTTCTTTTTTTTAGAAAATCAGGCTACATATCAATAAAATCAATTAAAAAAAGGAATATTCGCTTATAATATGGCCCCATTTCCAACAAAACTGTAACTGCTGTTGGTGGCGTGCTGGTGCATGAGAAATTGAAGACGGCAGTATTATTAAAAGGAAAATTTTAACAGATCTGCCTTATTCCAGGGAGTTGTTATAGTTTATTCAAACGCAAAGCCTTGATAACCGACTTAGGCAAATTGTTCCATGAGTCAACCACCTTGTAACATAAAAACAGAGCACTTCCTAGAATCTTATCTAGGCTAGAACCTTAGCCAGCATGGTAAAGTAGACTTAGGCCTAGGGACTATGCCTTCTCTAAAATAATAAATAAAAAAATATAAAGTTGAAAATTTTCAATTAACATTGAACAATGAACACGTACCTTTCGGTTGGGTATTTACTTGATTCATTTCTTTAAAGTACTTATCCAGCATGAAATTCCTTGTTGAGACCATGTTGCTTCAAAAAACGCCAATTATTTATGACCTAGGCCTAGGCTAGTTAGCTAAGCCTAACTGCCCTGGGCCCTCTAAAGTAAAAAGAGCGTACTGTTCAGCTGGCCTACACCTCCTTTCGCGTCTACAGCAGGTAGCAAAGTGGGTAGACGTCAATCTACTCACTTCTCAGTCAGGCTGGCGTCTTGTATGAACTGGATACTTGGTCCGGGTAAAATATATCAATCAGTGCATGCTAAATTAGGACCAAATTATTAAACTTTATCGGTGAATACGCACTTATTACAACTTAGTAAGTCACATCTCATTCAATATTAATTTTTTGGAAATAATACAACCACAACGATAACACACTTTCTTAGCTCATTCGTGTATTGCGCGAACAGCATCTGAATGCAAACAAGACACAAGCATTACACTGTGTTCGTAATATATTTATTGTTTTACTGTCCAAATATATAATACAACAATTAAAAAAGCATTTACAACAAGTTATTTTAATTAAATTATACGTTTAAAATACAATTTACTGTTACTATTAACGCATTTACATTTTAAAAGGTATTTCATAATATAAGTATGTGATATTACCCACATCGTTAAATAGAATAGTCTAACAGTAACAAAACTTTCGTGAAGATCGCATGCAAAGTTGAGTAAAAATAAATAAAAATCGTAGGCCTAAATGTAATTTTATATGCAGTGTACTGCCTATTTTTCCTCAAGTGCACAAAAGTAAAAAGAAAAATATTAATAACTAAATAACTACTTATAAAATAATTATATAATATGATGTACAATTTTGTAAGGCCTAAATGAACAAACTACCGTATAACATTTTTAAGGCAAATTCAATGAATTGGTTATCTTTATATTTGACTTGCACACGTACAGTACAATACAATGACAAATTATACAAAATGGGCTATTATACAATAAGAAGAGATAAGACCTAAATAAGAAAGTAAGCTTAAAGTGTTAAAGTCACACAATAAAAGTTGTATGTATATAAACTCACATTTGATTCAAGAAAAAAAATCTTACATACGTCCGTTTTTAGCTCTCGTCCCCCTGTATTTTGCCTCGTGTGGAAGAGGGTATTATTAGAAAAGTTGACTTATCTTAAAATTGCAAAGAAGATTCATTTTTTCTCTGAAAAACACATTTGACTTATAATCAATCAATGTTGTGTATTGTGATAATAATTTTTTTTTCTCTTTTCTGGTTTTATGCATTTGTGCAACCCACGCATCCCACCCTACGGCAACTGGTTAGGACCCTGCAGATAACTTTTAAAATCAGTATTAAAAACATTTACAGTAACACTGAAAAAAATAAGCCGTTAGTGTAATTTGAAAATCATTGATATATATA